ACCGGTCTGTATGTGGGATCCGAACCCTCGGGCAGGAGCGCCGCCGCGCTTCGCAAGCGGCACACTATAGCAGTGCGCCACCGGGCTGGCCCTAAATCCCATTCTTTTTAAATGTGCATGCTTTATAACTGACTTAATGTAGTAGACAGTAGTAATGATAATAACAATCAGCAGCCCTTGAGCACTTACTGTCACTAGGCTGTCATCTAAGCACTTTACACAAAGTGCATCGTGCCTCACAAAAACTGGATGAGGTGAGTACTGTTAGTACCCCCATTTTGCAGATGAAGAAACTAAGGCCAAAGAGGTTAAATAGCTGACTCAAGCTCACACTGCTACAAAGCAGCCACGCCAAGATTCCAACACAGGCCGGCTTCAGCAGCCCCCTTTTATCCGCAATGACAATCTGCTCTCATACTACGTATGGATAATTTATAAACAAACAAATAATATACAAACAAGATGGAGATATCAGGGGGACCTGTGAAACATTTTTTACTGATAAGTTTTCATAATCAAATAATGAAACCATGGTGGCAGACTATGAGTCCTTGAGGTAAGGTCTAAGTCTCACTCTTCTTTTTGGTACTTCCACCCAGGGGCTAGCTGGCATCTGGATCCTAATATATGCTCACTAAATATCTACTTGCTCCTGAAAACATCCATTGACAGATAATCATAGCAAATGTTTAAAAACACTTGTCATGTGCCAGGGACAATACACTTAATCTTCACAATAATCCTGTGAGGTTATGATTACGCCCAATTTGCAGATGAGGACACTGAGCAGCTAAGTAACTTGCCAGAGTCCAGAACCTGAACCCAGATTGTGGGACCGCACGGATCATCCTCTCCCACTGGTGAACAGATCCACAGGAGCAGCTTATGAACGTGGAGGGGTGGGTGGATTTGAAAACTTCAGGAAGGAAGCGGAGGTCGATTTTTCACTCCGTCCAGGTGGTTCCTTTTGCCAGGCGTCCCTATTTGCCTGACAGGCAAACTCCCACCTACCCTTCTGGCCCCAGCTCGAAGTCACCTCCTCCTGGAAGCCTGCTGCAGCTAGTTGCTCATGCCCCGTTCTTGCCTCATCTTCCCCTACGGGACTTGGAGCTTCTTGGAGACAGGGCTAGGCCCTACTCAAGGGGCATCCGGAGCCGGCTCAGCAAACTTCCACCCGTGGTCTGAGCCTCTGTCCGCCTTTCCTCCCAGGCCAGGGGCACGCCCACCTACTGTATTTTTCCTCCGTGGGCTCCGCTTCCCTCTCCTCCCTCCTCCTCCCTCCTCCCCTCCCCTCCCTCCCCCCC